CTATGACATACAACTATCTACTGGGGCTTTGGGGAGAAAAAGGGAAAAAAAGGAGGAGGATTGGCAATAGATATTAGCTCAGAGCTGGTCTTCCTCAGCAAAAAGAGGAGAATTAGCATGGATGTTAGCTCAGGGCTGATCTTCCTCACAAAAAAAAAAAAGAGAGAAATGAGATATGAAAAAAAGATAATGTGGGTTTTGAGGGTATTTTTTTATTTAAAAAAAACTTTCGATTCCTCACACGTCAAACGCGCTGTGTCTAAACTGGAATCTCGGATCTGCCCGCGCTCCTTCCCAACAGCAGAGAACAGCAACTGCGTCCCTGTGCCGCTCAAGCCCACTGCCTACTCCTTGGCTCTCTACCCTCAGAAGATCCTGCTGGCTGTGCATATCCAGAATCCAATCCCTCTCACCCCCTCTGCTACCCGCTTGCAGAAGCCACTATCACCCCTTGACCAGATCACTGCCATGGCCTCCTGGATGGTCTCTTCCTCCACCCTTGCCCTGCAGGCCATTCTCCACGCAGACTCTGCAGTGATACCCTGGCTGCTCATCTCTCTCCATCTCGCTTCCTCCTACTCCCTTTCTCCTCCATTCAATTCCACTCACAATGCTGTTCCCTTGAACATGCCACGCACACTCCTGCCTCAGGGACTTTATACTGGTTGTCATCTTTGCATCAACATTCTCCCACCAGATTATACTGTAAACCTGAAAAGCCAATTCTGTTAATGAACATCAAGGGCACAATACTAAGAAACCTTATTCTGCAAATCATATCAGTATCAGCGACATAGTACTGAGAACTTTTGTCTTTAAAACCTTTTTTAACAGCTAACATCTGTTGCCAATCTTCCTCACAAAAAAAAAAAAAAGGAAAGAAAATGACAAAATATTTCACACATACCAAATTTAATTCCCTTTAAAGTCAAGGCTCTTTGAAAATTGACCAAAATATTTAAATATAACCACACTAAAAGCATTGAAAATTAAATGAAAAGGAAGCATCATTATATTATTTACCATTTATAGCCTGTGAAAGTTGAGTCTCATCATTTAAGAAGTTAAGTAACGAGGAATCGTGTTCATTTTCTGACTCATCGTTCTCATCTGATGAAACACATTCTGCATCTTCTTGGGTAAGTTCTGCTTCATCATCTAAAAACTTCCTAGCTACAAGCTAAGACAAATTAGAAAACATGAAGATGCCCTTAAGAAAATCATTTACTTTCCTTAAATAATTGGAAATCATTCTGGAAAATAAATTTCTTGCCAATGCTTTTAAGACCAAAATAATAAAAACAGAAAATTGCAAGAAGAAATGACCAAGTAGGGCTGGCCCTGTGGCTTGGTGGTTAAGTGCGCGCGCTGCAATGCTGGTGGCCCGGGTTCGGATCCCGGGTGCGCATCGAGGCACCACTTCTCCGTCCATCCTGAGGCCAAGTCCCACATACAGCAACTAGAAAAGGATGTGGAGCTGTGACATACAACTATCTACTGGGGCTTTGGGGGGAAAAAAAAAAAAAAAAAAACTTAAAAAAAAAAAAAAAAAAAAAAGAATTTCTTCTGATAATTCTAAGTAAAATAAAGCAAAAGTCAGCATGTCAGCTGGCTGAATGCTTCTTAATGAGCATAAAGTCTCCAGAGTCTTCCGGCTAATTAACTTCGGCCATAAAAAATACTGCATCACAAAAGGACTGATCAGTAAGAAAAGATGCTGAGAATTCTTTTCCAAGGATTTGAATATTGGATAGAGATAAGAAAAACAATATAATGATTGTAAAAGCAAATATTCTAAAACTCAGATTTCTGTCTCTATATTTTCTTCAATTTGACTCAAATTCTCAGTACACTAAAGTTTCTTCATTTAGTCATTCAAAATAACACAACACTGCAAGATACGTAGTTTCAAAACATAAAGAGAAACAAAAATACGACAGCCTTGATATTTTAATTCCAGTAAAAAAAGTAAAATGAGGGTCAAAGTATTTTTTAATTTTGAATTTTTTTCTATAAAGAAATTGTACAGAGAAATCTACTTCTATGTAAAATCTAATGTTCTTTACTAATAAAAAATACACAGTATATATTTATAAAAATAAGAAACTAAAACAACTTTACCTTTAGGTTATTCTGTCTCTTTGGGACTCTGATGCCTCCTTTGGCATTCCTGGTATGACCCTTGAAGTCTTCTAACTGTGGATGTCGTCTGTGAAAATTCTCACTTTCATCACTCGATGATAATTCTAACTATAATAATTCAATAAAATTCTTGCATAAGAAGATATAATTGGATTGTTGTATCTTAACGTGTATCTCAAGGGTTGTTGCTTTTATTTTCATTTTTTCTTTTTAAATAGATGGCTTAACATTTTCAAGTTAGAAAAATAAAATACTCTCAGAAGTTAGAGCCATGTTACAAATACATAATATTTAATAATTTAAAAGTTAAGTAATACTAAGTACTAAAATACTAAATTAGGTAGTATAAGTAATACTAGTATATATTCATTCAATTTAGTATTACATCAAATGTGTTTGATGAAAACTTGTATTTTTAGTTTAACTGTTTCCTTTAGAAGATCCTGAAGGGCTTCACAAAAAATAAGTCTGTAAATATATCTGTCAAAATCAGTTCAAATATACAGGGAGTCCTCTCAAACCAAGACACCAATATAACAATAACAAAGTTTGACTGTGAGGCCTACCACTATATCTCTTACAGAATAATATGAAACCAATCAAAAGAAGTTTATCAAAATAATTTCAATTAAGAGGAACAATTTTAGTTTAAAGTGGATTGACCATCAGCATTCTCAAAATTTTAATTCACTTCTGGTATAAGTCAATCAGACATTCTGGTTATGGTAGCAAGTTAAGCAATTTTTCTCTTCTTTTTTGTGAGGAAGATCAGCCCTGAGCTAACATCCATGCCAATCCTCCTCTCTTTTTTTTTTTTTTTTTTTTTGCTGAGGAAGACTGGCCCTGAGCTACCATCCATGCTCACCTTCCTCCACTTTATATGGGACACCGCCACAGCATGGCCAGACAAGCGGTGTGTCCGTGCACGCCCAGGATCCGAACCTGGGCTGCCAGCAGCAGAGCACGAGTACTTAACCGCTACGGCACGGGGCTGGCCCTAAGCAATTTTTCTAGTGAAGTTTTATATAAGTATACAAAGTTAATATGGACTGTTTGCATTTTTTAATTAATTTTGCACAAATTATCCTAGATTGTATTAGAGAATTAACACACAAGATTTCCTAATCTCAAATTTAGCTATCAGCTATAAGCTGATGACAAATGAATATCATTACCTTATGACCCACCCCTCTACCCACACTTCAGATTCAAGTCATCGCTGCCTGCCAGACACTCACTTCACTGCTCCATAAGAACCTCACACTCAAACACGTGCAACACCGAATTTATCGCCTCTTTCTTGCCTTCTGTAAATTGGTGACACAGGCACCAAACAGCCCAAGTCAAACCCAGAGTCATCTTGGACTCCTTCCTTTCCTTCTTTTAAACCACTCAGTCAGCATATGGGAGAATAAGGCCTTCCAAACACTGGCCCAGACTTTTCTCCAATTGTACATCCTGGCATTCTTTGTCTTTACAATCCAATAATAAAGAGATGCTGTTTCCCCACTTCACGTCATTCTTTTAGCTGTTCACTCTGTTGGCAATGCCTTCCCCTCTCCCTTCTCCTGCCTAACCACCACACATGCCGTAAGATTTAACTAAGGTATTACCTTCAAGAAGACTGCCAGAACTACCAAGGTCTAGGCTAAGGACTTATCTTTTCTTATCACTTAACTTAAAAAGTTATATTGAAATGATCTGTTTACTTATCTATCTCTCCTATTAGAGTGTAGGAGACTTACAACAGCACCAGGATATAATCCTTATAGCGTCCCCAGCATCTTACACAGTAGATACAGAATAGGTATTTAATGAACGTTTGCTGAATTCCAAAGTGTACTGACAAAAGTAGGGATAGTTTTTAAAAGGAGTATAAAATTAAAATAGAAATTCCAATCATACAGGATTTACTATCTATTTTTCTGTTAACCATATACCTGTAAGATCAATATCTACATTCATCTATACCCATATTTTTCTTATAATATTTATTCCAAAAGAATTTGAATTACTCTACATTATCTGTTACGTACTTACTCTGTTTGGAGGAACCCTGCGCTTTTTGACAGCATGAAGTGGAGAATCAACTTCACTATTTTTCTGATCCTAGATAAAGTAGATAAATAAATAAAGTAAAAGGTAAAAACAAAAAAAACCTTAAGGGGAAAAAAAGCCTTTATATGATCACATTATTTTGATTACTGAATGACTCACCTCAGGGGATTCTAAAACATTTCCTTTTGTTTTTCTACTTTTTCTTTGGAAAACCTCGTCATCTTCACTTTCACTGCTTGTTAATTGTTCACCTACAATTTATTTAAAAATAATGAATATGGTCAATAGATTTAAGTTTATCCAACCACAACTATCTATTTTATTGATGGGTACAATAAGAATTGTTTCTGGGGTCGGCTCTGTGGCTTAGCGGTTAAGTGCGCGCGCTCTGATGCTGGCGGCCCGGGTTCGGATCCCGGGAGCGCCCGGAGGCGCCACTTCTCCGTCCAACGCGAGGCCGAGTCCCGCGTGCAGCAACTAGAAGGATGTGAACCTATGACATACAACTATCTACTGGGGCTTTGGGGGGAAAAAGCTGAATAAATAAAATCTTTAAAAAAAAAAAAAAAAAAAAAAAAAAAAAAAAAGAATTGTTTCTGGTAATCTCAACATGTACTCACTTTTGAAAAAAGATAGTTTTTCAGAAATTTGGTCAAACAATCAGCATGGAAAGGACAGAAGATTAAACAGTACCAGTGAGGAATTTAAGAGATGACTTCTGCTAATAAACATACTTGATTCAGGTTCAGTTTTATAAATTAACTGAAAAGAGACCAGAAGAGTGCAAAATGTAATTTTCTTGGTCCATGGTTCTAGAATTCACCTCTAAAATTTACTATAGTCTTTCTGCCTTTGTGTCTTATTTCTTTCTAGTTGAAGGAGTTAAAGCATGAAAATGCAGACTACAAAACAATACGTGAAAAGATTCTTTTTTATGTATGCATGTACATATGTGTACATATACATGTGTGTTTGTGCACAAGCATGAAATAAAAATTGGTAAGATAGTCACCAAAATATTGTAAGTGGAACACTTTCAGGGTATGGAAAGAATGCTAAAAGCAAAACTCTCATGTATGAAATTAAATGCTTCAAATTTTCAGGTACTTAAAGCTCTATTTCTGCACTTTCATAAAATTCTGATTGAAGACATCTTTTTGTGTCTTTACAAAACCTTCTATACGAACTCTGTGGTTCTTAGGTTCATAAATTCTTTGATATGCCTCCCTTTAAGAGGTGGATCATAATTCCTCTCTCCTTGAGTGTGGCCCAGACTGAGTCGCCTGATTCTAACGGAAGAATATAATGGAGGCGAAGGTGTGTCACTTCCGAGTCTAGGCCATAAGAGGCACTGCAGCCTCATCCTAGCTCTCTCTCGCATCATTCGCTCTGGAGGAAGCCAGCTGCTATACTGTAAGGGTATAAGAAGCAACCCTACAGAGAGGCCCATGTGGCAAGAAACTGAGGCCTCCTACCAACAGCAATGTGACCCTCCACACTTATTCAAGCCTTCAGCTAACTCCAGCCCTGGCCAACATCTTCACTGCAACCTCATAAAATACCCAGAGCCAGAACCACTCAGCCAAGCCACTCTCCAATGCCTGGTCCACAGAAACTGTGAAATAATACACACTTGTTCTTTCAAGCCATTAAGTTTTGGAGGTAATTTGTTATGCAGCAATAGATAAATAACACAGATTTTGGTACCTGGAAATAGGGAACTGCCATACCAAAAACCTAAACTGTGGAAGTAGCTTTAGAACTGCAGAGTGGGCAGAGGGAAAGGACTTTTGAGGAGAGTTTTAGTGAAAGCTTGAAGAGCCTTGGAGGAATTGTTTGCAGAAAGATTAATGGCCATTGAGGAGGCTATGGGTGAGGGCTTAAAGAAAAGTAAGGAAAATCTTATTAGAAATTGGAAGGAAGAGAATCCTTTATGTCGTGTCAGCAAGTTTAGCAACCATTGAGTAATATCAAAAGTAGAAAATGTACCTACTGAATGAGGCAGTCTAGCTGAGGAGATTTCCAGACAAAACGCTTAAGGTCTCACCTGTGCTTCTTCCTGTTAAAGCAAAATGCAAGAGGAGAGAGAGACACTCAAGAAAGGACTAGTAAAGACAAAACCGTTGGGACTTGCTGGTTTTGAAAATTCCCAGCCTCTCCAGGTAACAAACAATGCTAAAATTAAGAAATCTCCCAAGCAGGGGGCCAGCCCAGTGGAGTAGTGGTTAAGTGCTCGCCCTCCGCCGCGGCGGCCTGGGGATCACAGGTTCGGATCCCAGGCGCGCACCGACGCACCGCTTGTCAGGCCACGCTGTGGCGGCGTCCCGTATAAAGGGGAGGAAGATGGGCAAGGATGTTAACCCAGGGCCAGTCTTCCTCAGCAAAAAGAGGAGGATTGGTGACAGATGTTAGCTCAGAGCTAACCTTACTCACACACACACAAAAAAGAAATCTCCCAAGCAGGGAGCTACTCTAGAGGGCTTCCAGGAAAATACTGTCTACAGATGAAGCTGAAGGAGTAACTGTAAGTGCTTTAAGACCTCAGAGTGATTGAAGATGCTGCCTCAGAGGACCATTCAGTCAGACAAAAGACCCTCTAAATATCTTAAGGACGTCCTGCACAGATCCTCTCAACAACAGGCCTTCTAAAAAGATTAAGGAATTATCTCCAGACATCTCAACAGAAGCCCAAAGTAGAGAAGGACTTTCCTCCAAAAGATTTGTGGGCATGGCTAGTGTCTAAGGGAATGAACCCTAATCAGATTCACAAGAGACCCACAAAGATTTATGAGAATTACATGGGAAGAAACACAGCCAGCTACAACTGAAAGGGTGAGAGACAGAACAAACTGAAAAGAGGACTTTCAATCCCCAAATTTTAACTAAAAAGAAACAGGCCAAGAAAACTCTACAAATGCTACCTGTTATGAAAAAGGACCAAGCATCCAGATGACGAATCTAAGAACCATGGAGAATTATTCCCAGGCTTTGAGACCTAATCAAGGAACTTCCAATCTCAGCTCTTCTGGATTTCAGATTTGCTATGGACCAGTGATTCCTGTGTGCCTCCCCTGCCCCCTCTTGAACAAGCCATCTTGGAAGCACCCATGCCCAGTCAAGTCTTCAGAGGACTGCAACCCCAGGTGAAATCTTGACTATAATCTCAGGAAAAATCCTAAACGAGAACCACCCAGTTAAGCAACTCTCAAATTCCCTAACTACAACAACTGTGAGATGAATGTTTGTTATTATAAGCCACTAAGTTTTGGGGAGTAATTTGTTACACAGCAATAACTAACTAATACAAACTCACAAAGTAAATTTCTCCACACACTCGATGCCAATAAAACATCTACCCAGACACATAAACTCAAATAATTCCTTTTTGCAGGTGAGCACTGTATAATCCAACTAGTTTTTCATTTTTCATTACCTTCTAGGGAAGCCATAGTTAAACAAAGGGCTCAGCTAAAGTAACCAATGCCAAGAGGCTTTCTTTTTAATTGCTTTAGTGGTGTTTTAATGAACTACTTTTGTATACATATGATGTGGCAAATGATCTTAAATCTTCCCTTTCAATAATAAATTCTAACAAATAATTCCATTATATATATATATATATATATATATATATATTTTCATAATTATATTCCCCATGGTTAGTAGTTAAGTACAAAGCTAGAAAAAAAGTTTTAATGCAAATCTGACACAAAGACGGAAAAATGATCTCAGCCATTTACACGGACTTAACAGAAAGGTGTTATAGCAAACATTGAAGGCAGCATACACTTAGTAAAAACACGTGTCAGGGCACATCCAAAACTATGCAGAGCAGTCAGTTTTCGAAAATTAAACATATTTCCAGAACTTACTTTAAACAAGCTTCTATCTTAAATAAAACATTCATGAATCATGCCCTCAACGCTAATGAGAATAGCATGATTAAGAAAAAGATTTACAGAGGAAACCCATTTTATCCCACAACTACTCTTTTTCCTGACCCATAAGGAGTAAGATTCATAAACGGCCTGCTATAATAATCTATACATAAACTAGAGTTGCGTTCTATAACAAGATTTAAAGGATACTTAAATCATTTTAATACCAAATATCTTCACTATATTTTTCTAGTTTTTCTGTAACTGTGTAGAACTATATCACAGAAATCCAGAGATTCCTCTGGATCTTCTGTGGTCTTGTCTCAATCCTCCAAACACAGACTTATTTCTCAACTATTTTGCTACATAAATTCTCTACTTTAAACTATTCTCCCACCACCAAATCTTCCACTTTCCTTCCTTCTTTGTTTTCATCATTTCATAATATCCAAATTCTCTCTTTATTATTTTCAACATATCCAAATTGTAAATATTCCTGAGGAGCCAAAATGAAAACCTACACTAAAAATCTACATCTCCAGGGGCCGGCCCGGTAGCGCAGGCGGTTGGGTGCGCGCACTCTTGCTTTGGCAGCCCGGGGTTCGCAGGTTCGGATCCCGGGTGCGCACTGACACACTGCTTGTTAGGCCATGCTGTGGCGGCGTCCCTTGTAAAGTGGAGGAACATGGGCACGGATGTTAGCTCAGGGCTAATCTTCCTCAAGAAAAAAGGGGAGGGTTGGCATCAGATGTTAGCTCAGGGCTAGTCCTCCTCACAAAAATAAAATAAAACAAAAATCTACATCTCCAATCTAATCCAGTTCAAGATTTTATCATCTTCTGTGCTCGCTTCAGCAGCACATATACTAAAATTTGAACCATACAGAGAAGATTAGCATGGCCCTTGTACAAGGATGACACGCAAAGTCGTGAAGCATTCCATATTTTTGTGAAGGGGTATATCTATATGGTGACTGACAAATAATAATGTACAACTGAAACTTCACAATGTTATCAACTATTATGACCTCAATAAAAAAATTTTTATCATCTTCTGAACCTCCTAAAAATCCACTATATTATTATTCATTTAATAGTTATTTCCACATACTGGTATCTTTTCAAGTGTATAAGTCACACAATTGTTTGTGTTGTACAATCAAGGGCCTGATCTCACACTTCTGTATTTCACAGTGTCCAGCATAATACCTTCCCCATGCCATGCATGTCATAAATACATGTAGATAAAATAAATCTTATATCAGTAAGCACCAATTAAACAAATATATAATATATCAATTATATAATTCAATACACTGTATACTGAGAAATTACATTTTGAAAAATTACAGAAGTTTATCTAGGGTAATTATTCTAGAAAGATTTGTGTTTTATAAAGATGTGACTCTTACCTCCAACAGGATGACAGGATTGATGCAGATTGATTTGTTCCCTGCTCTTAGCCTTTTCTATAGAAAGTCCTGAATCATCAAAAGTTGAATTCATTGTTTTTTTAACACTTTGTAGATTTACTTTTTCCTTATTAGAATCTGGCGTCTTACGCATTTCCTTTCTCTTCTTAGGAAATGAGTTCAGTGTGTTTAATTCAGAAAGTGGTGTACTCATAACTTTTTCTCCTACTGGCAAAGAAAATTGAGAATAACCAGGAGACATAAATTCTTTCTTCTTTGCTGCATTCAGGGGGAAATGTGCAAAATTTGGACTCTGCTTATCTTCACTTGATGGGATAGTAATGGTCCTACTCGTAAAACTATCAATATGATCTCTTGGTATTACTGCTTGATTTGAAACATAATTTGCATCACTTATCTCCTTAATATCTGAACACTTTCCAGATAGATCATCTAAAAATCTATTCTTACTTGTATCTGATGCATGTTCTAATATTTCATCATCAGAATCTGGACTACAAAAGCCTAAATCAAAGGTAACAGAAAATAAATCCTTAGAGCAGTCAAAAACACATTCATCATTCTTCAGTTTTTCCTCACGGATATCTCTCAAATCTTCTTGAGATTTCCAACTATTAGTTTCACAGATGATTTGATCTTGGGGTTCAGAATTATCATCTAACAAAAGTTCATCAGAAATGAAGAACTGAGAGACCAGCGCCGTTTCATTCACAGCAGTTTTGTCTGACACACATAGAGACTTGTGTTTACTCTTCGAGGGAGAAAGGCTCACATCATTAAACTCTGTATCAACATCTTCAAATAAGAGTAAACTTTCATCTTGATCAGTCAACAATACTGGGAGGCCATTATCAATATTACAATTCTTTTCTTCAACAAAATACTTTGGCGGGCCTATATTTATTTGAATATGATTGTTGGATACTAAATTTTCATTTTGAATATCTTTATGTACTTTATTATCATAGTCACAGAAGCTTGGCTCATCAGAAATCTTATCATTAGTTGCAGTGTAAAGACAACTTTTTTCAGAAGGATGATTAATAAGGTTAAGTGAATTTGATTCTAAATTCTGTTGAGAATTTACAGCTGAATGTGACATCAAACAGGTGGATTTATCACTTTGTAAATACGCTGTGTAGGGTAGGGAAAGCAAATTCTCATGTGCAGAACCCTTAGCAATTTCATGTTCCAAATCTGAAAGTCCACTGAGAGGCGGAGGAGAATGAGATAAAAATCTCTCTACGTTAGCTACGACCTCTTTTGTTAATGAATGACAATTATAAAACTGGTCATCTGTCCCAGCTATACAAAGCTCTTCCTCGAATGGAAGAAACAAGCCAGATGAACCAGATTTCTCATCACCGAAACTGTTATAACCAGAATCTAAAAGCTTTCCAGCAAACGAACTAGTAGATTTACTTGTAACCTGACATTCCGTTAACAATCCACACGGCTGATGAACAACATTTTCACTGATAGTACCTGTGGCAGCAACTTTTTCTGTCTCTGATACCCTTTTATCATTTAGTAGGTCCACCTTAAAAGTATTTTCAACAGCAGAATCGCCATCAGTATCTAAAGAATCCATAACAACATCATTATTTTCTTTTTTAGGCTGATCTTTTCCCAGTTCTTTAGCTTTTTTCTTTACAGAAACAATTTTAGTAGGTTTGATATGAGTTTGTTTAAAAATTTCAGCACAATCTTCATCAAATTCAGTCATTGAGAATGAACCGCCTCGATTTATATTCTTTATAAATGAAGATTTCTTTTTAGCAGTAAAGGTGCCACTGGCAAGAGTATTATATTCATTCCTGGGAGCACTTGACGTTGAGTTAACATCTTCCATTTGTAAGTAAGATTTAATTTCCAATTCATAGCTGCATTCTCCCTATAAAGAAGGAAAATGAAAAAGTCACAGGAAAACAAAACAAAACACAAAAGGCAATTCTAAGAGATGAGTTTTATCTATGTTAAAATATTTTCTAAACAATATTATATTATTCAAAGGATTTTCTGGGGCCAGCCTGTGGCTTAGCGGTTAAGTGCGAACGCTCCACTACTGGTGGCCCGGGTTCAGATCCTGGGCGCGCACTGACGCACCGCTTCTCTAGCCATGCTGAGGCGGCATCCCAGGTACAGCAACTAGAAGGATGTGCAACGATGACATGCAACTATCTACTGGGCTTTGGGGAAAAAAAGGAAGAGGATTGGCAATAGATGTTAGTTAGCTCAGAGCTGGTCGTCCTCAGCAAAAAGAGGAGGATTGGCATGGATGTTAGCTCAGGGCTGATCTTCCTCACAAAAAACAAAACAAAACAAAGGATTTTCTTTTATACCTTAAAAAATTGTTCAGATAAACAAAATTATAAATGACACTACTGTGAAATTATCATAAATTATCTTTAATCACTTAATATTTTTGTTTCCCCAGTACTTAATACGTGGAAGACCCAGGATAACTAGAAAAATTTGTAGAAAAAACAAATTTAATGAATACATAAAATAAGATAATAACTACTAAGTTTTTTACTTCTAACATTTAATTGAGTAATTATTCTATTTTTCTAAAAACAGATATTTTAAAAATTAATATATAAATGAAAAACACACACATGTTAAATTCACTCTTCTGATGAAGGTAAACTAAGAACAGCTTTTAGAACCATGGAAACAATAGTACCAGTATGTCTACTAGGTTGTAGGCTGGAATATACTATTTTTAACAAATTTCCCAACCAAGAAATCTTACAGTGAATTTCTAAGTCTTACTTATGTCTAAATCTAAAACAACAGTCCCCACGATCCCTACTCATCCTTCCCTCTTCCCCACGAAGGCCATTTTAGTCAGGATTCCTCTACTACTCAGGGACTTAAGCACTTAACTCTCGCTTTTTTGACGAATAAATATAATAAATACTAATGTGAGAATGTCTGTCTCCCTGCTAGTATATATGCTCCCCTCAGACAGAATATTTTATATGGCTTCTTCACTGAGGTAGCCACAAGGCCTAGTACAGAGCTTGGCATATGGAGGGCACAAAATAAATATGTGTTAATTTGAAGGCACACATTTTGCTGGGATCCACAACAAATTACTTTACTTACCTGTATTCATGAACAATAGCTAATAATAAAAATAGCAGCTACAATCTATTTAGTACAGTTGGCCCTTGGTATCCACATGGATTAGTTCCAGGCCCCCCCTCAGATACCAAAGTCCACGGATGCTTGATCCTTTAGTCAGCCATCCGTATCCTCGGATACAGAGGGCCAACTGTACTCACTATTGTCAGTTACTATTCTAAGTGCTTTACATGTATTAAGTCTTTTAATCTTCACAACAACCCTATGAAGAAGGTATTCTCATTACCCCCATTTTACAGATGAAACTGAGGCACAAAGAGGTTAAGTAACTTACAGATGCACCATTAGTAAGAGGTAGAGTTGGGATTCCAACCCAGGAATTTTGGATTTTACACTCAGAATAGGTTCATCATTCTGACTCAAGGAAGAATAATCAAGAAACTGCTCAAGGAATCAATAATTCTCTAACCTACCACCAGGATGTAAGAGACATACCAAATGACCTAGGTGATAGAGAATATTTCAATAAATCCCACTATATCAAGAATCCTAAATTAGCTTTATAAATAGTTGTTGTATAAATCATTAAGTATATTAAAATTTTACTCTAGTCTATCAATATTTACAGGTGATATTCTTCTAATTAATTAAGCCTACTTCTATGGTGGAAAACTGGTTCCTTATTGAAGGCAAAAAGAGCTATATAGAAAAACAAAATATTCTAGCTAAAATTACTTGTAATTCATACTTGTTTCTTATAATAATGACTTCGAATTAAGAAGAATAAAGATTAAGTATTCTAGTTTCATCATCATACCAGCAAGAGAAAGTTACAATAAAACCTCACCTCTTCGTGTCTCATTCCTTCTATCATTTGCATAATGTTTATGAAATGGTGGCATCGATCTGAATGGTCAACTTGATGTGTAGGAAGAGGATGATCCTGCCACACTCTCCACTCAGAGAGAGAGAGCTGACGAACTCCAGTGGTTGGTTCTTGAGTCTTGTTAACAATTTTAAAAATAATAAAATGATAAAAACACACATACTCAGATTTCACAAACTGATTTAAAAAAAATTAATATACGATAATCAGCCTAACATAAACAAATTGAATTCAGTTAGGGACTTCAACTAAAATCTCAGGAGAAAAAAGGAAATAATTTCAAAAAGTACAAAGATGCCCTTTTAAATACATTTTTTAAATAATTGTTATATGAGTTACTACTTGGCCATATTCCTGTTTATATAGTTCCATGTTAAGAGCAAATATTTAAGAAAATGTGTGGTTTCAAAACTACTATTTTGCTAGATTTATATCCTACAATCTAATAGGGAGGCATTCATAATCTCTCAGTGATACTGATCCCAACTCTTCAAACCCGCTGCCATTCTTCACTTTCCCTGTAGTGAATAAAATATAAATCCTGAAAAGCCATATATTTAAAGTTCTATAAATCTTCTAAAAGGCATCTTCCCTGAGGTTGTTTTTCCAGTTGTCTAGGCACAATGTAACCTTTGATCAATTCTCTTGACTTTTCCTAAGTTCACCAAAAATTTTCCCATAATAAACAAACAATAACACCAAATTAAAGTTTTACTATAATTATAAAAAAAATAAATAAAAACTAGTTTGTACAAAGATGCTCACGACAGCATAATTTTATGTTGTAATATTTTGAAAAAGAATCCCCAAACACACCAGGGAAACAGCTAAACAAACGGTGGTATATTGCAGGGTAACCTGACAACCATGTAGATGACGCCCATATAAAAATGTTCACATGGCAGAAAGTAAGGAAGAACAGGCAGAACTTAGATAAATATATTATAGTCATGTAAAAATATATATACAATAAAGAACATAAAATTAGTAGCTTTACAAACTTAGACTCTAATATTCCTTTTTAAACTTTTTTACATTCTTAATTTTTTAAGTCAGTCAACATTCTGATCATAAACATTCTCTTTACTCCCAAAGCTACTGCATAATCACTGTAAAGAGCATCTGAAAACACGTTCAACTTACTGGTCTGTTTTCCTCATTTTGTAAAGAGGGAAACTGCACTTGAGGCAATGTTATTTCCTTAATTCCATCACTGTCTCTTAATCTATAAAGTCTGGCCCATAATTTAAATTCTTCTTCTGATAAGAACCCATCTTTCTTCGAATTACTTTGCTTCATTCCTGTAAGTTGAAAAAATAACTGAAAAGAGGTTAAAAAAATCTGCAAAGCAAACAAAATATACAACATCGACTCAAACTCTCTCCTTGTTTATGTCTACTCATCTCTGCTAACCCACTGATTCTATTCCTTACACTGGCATTCTTCATGAAAACCACTCGGTCAGCACTTCCTGCTTCCACACATCTCCTAACCTCCTCTCTCCTCTCTGAGAGTACTGGTGCACCCCCTGTCTAGGTGCTAACCTTCAGTAATGACTCCATTAACAGAACACAGCCAGGTAGCTGGGCTCTCGGTCCTAGCTTCTTTTTGGATTCTCTCCACTTTGCTGCCTAAGACCTGGCACGAAACAATGAGATAACTTACAAACGAAAGCTAGTATCACGATTCTATCATAACAGTATTGGAAGGTCAAATGAGGCTTGATGGGGGACACCAAGACTAAAAAGGGTTTTCAGCTTAAGTCTGAAATGGAGGGTGGGTGGCTGAAGGGGGGTGGGAAAGACCTATTGCTTTAAAAAATAATAGACTTTTAAAACAGGTAGACGGTAAGTTAACCCTTTTTGACTTCCATAATCTCTATAAAGGGAAATAATCATCAAACTGGAAAGGATACACAGCATAAAGCTCTGGTCCGATACAGACGAGGGCAGAAAAAAATTGTCAAGACTGCTGAATTAGGAATCAGGAAACTTCTGTCTTCGCTCTTCCCAAATACTGCAGAAGAGGCTTTTGTAAAATAAGGGGTTTGAATTCCGTGATCTCACAGGTCCCTTTCAGTTCTAACAACTGACGCTCTAAGACTTTCAAAATAGGAAAGTATTCCACTCTCCCAGTCACGTTAAGTAAGTGCAGGCTGCTAAGCCCAGATGAATTATACACTAATGTATAGAGGATTACATTTACACACACAATCTTGGCAGGATGAACCAGTGACACTTGAAAAATCAGGGAGAAAAGTACAGAAAAATGAATATGAGCTAACATTATCTCAATTTTTAAAGAAGGACAGGTTCTAGAATTTTACTAAAGAAATTTGCCATCCATCCCTAGTAACATTTTAGAAGCAATTATCAAACATATGGCTAATTAACATCTATAAAAATATAATGACCACTAAGAATAAGTTATGCCAACCTAATCAAGTTTTGATGCCATTATTAGTTTAATAAATTCAAGAGAATTCAAAATACATACTCTGTTTTTATTTTAACCAAAAATTTGGTAAAGTCTTATAAAATGACAGGTATATTCCTATTAAGTGGATTTGTATTAGGTCTAATAGGCATATTCAAAAAAGCATGAATTAATGGCTCTGAGTGAAGGGAAAAGAACATTTACAAATTTAAGTAAGTCCAAAGCAGGTGACTAGGAGGGAAAGGACCCTGAAATTTCAGAGTATGAAAACCATGGAACAAACAGCTGAACAAACTTGAGAGGGCCTGTCTTCAAATACCTAAGGAACTACTACTACATCAGTAAACCATGGATCAAAACTGTTCTTGTACCTAGAAGACAAAACTACATCAACGAGAAAAGCGTACCACGACAGATGTTTCAACTTAAGGACTTCTTCTGTATGGGGCTGTTCAACAATGGAATGAACTCTCATAAAGAAATAGAGTTCCCTGGGCCCGCCCTATGGCGTAGCGGTTAAGTGTGCACGCTCCGCTGCTGGCGACCCGGGTTCGGATCCCGGGCGCCCATCCCAGGCGCGCACCGACGCACCTCCTGTCAGGCCACACTGTGGTGGCATCCCATATAAAGTGGAGGAAGATGGGCACAGATGTTAGCCCAGGGCCAGTCTTCCTCAGCAAAAAGAGGAGGATTGGCATGGATGTTAGCTCAGGGCTGATCTTCCTCACAAAAAAAAAAGAAAGCAAGAAATAGAGTTCCCACCAGCAGAGATGTTCCAGCTGATGCTGGACACACATTCAACAAGAATGCTGCAGAAAGCATTCCCACCTGGATAGGCAACCGGACCAGATGACCCCCAAGGTTCCTTCCAAATCTTAAAGTATATAACTACATGATTTTATGATTCTTTAAAAGTCCTCCTTCAAGGCTAAATAAAATTCATAAGATAAACTTTTTAGTTTCTCATTTTCAAAGTGCTAACATTTCAAGATATTTTCTTGATACCACCAAAATCTCTGCAGTTCTTTTTTTTTTTTTTAATTTTTATTTATTTATTTTTCCCCCCAAAGCCCCAGCAGATAGTTGTAGGTCATAGCTGCACATCCTTCTAGTTGCTGTATGTGGGACGTGGCCTCAGCATGGCTAGAGAAGCGGTGCGTCAGTGGGCGCCCGGGATGGAACCCGGGCCGCCAGCAGCGGAGCGCGCGCACTTAACCGCTAAGCCACGGGGCTGGCCCTCTGCAGTTCTTTAACTAGCAACACGCTCATGACTAACCATGCTCCCTGGCACCAAAGTGTTTGTTTCCCTCTGAATCTGTATCACCAATAACTTAGTCTAACTTCGCCACTATCTGGTATAAGAGTAAATTAAAAAAAAAAAAAAAATGAATTTTCTCCTTTATAGAAAGGAAAAGTTTGTAAATACTTTAATGTTTGTAAATACTTTCTTTAACCCTTTGATATGTAGGCAAATCTTTGTAAAGGCTAAGGCCAGACTCTAGCCAGCTTTTCAACCAGAAATGCTTTTCTTAAGAGCCTGTCTCTTTGAAATGTAAACACCAAGGAAGAGAGTGTCCCTCTCTCCCAGTCATCAGAGGAGTCAGACCTAGATACCCTTCTTGGAGCTGTCACTATCTGCTTGTCATAGAGATAAGAGAGGTTTTATTATTTCTTTGGATAAAGGCAACCAGCTAACCCAAATGGCTACCTCATTTCCCAGGTGAATTGGGATGAGCTATGAAAGAATGTACAGCAAATGGTGCTGCCCTCTTATACGAGGACAAGTTACTGGTAACCTTGAGAACATAGAGGTGAAGGATTGTAACTTGGGGGGATGAATAGGGGTGAATTTCTTTCTGTCTTTGTATCATCCTGGTGGACTGCCTACAATGCACATTGTAATCTGGTTCAATGCTTATTCAATAATAAAACTGTTTTCTTTCTTTTCTACATTTTGTAAAGAGGATTCTCTGGGTTGGTAGGGTATTTTTAATTTTCCCAACATTCTGTACTGCCAGCGCCAATCCTTCACTTTACCAGGTGAATAATCTCTTATCCTTTCCAAAGTGAACACCCATGACATCCCAGAATATACACTGAGTTTCTCAAAGAAGTAATATATCAATATATGACCTGCTAACAACAGGAAAAAAAATGCATGTCTCAAATGTAAAATTTTTTGTTTACCATTCCTAGAGTAAAAGATAGATGACTCTCGCTGCAAGTTCCGAGAAGGCTTCTCCGGTTCATAGACACCATGTGTGATGAACATTTTATGCAATTCTGGATTGATTCCATCAGGAACCATTCGTGGACTTCCTTGGTAAAAATGAAGGACCTGCCTGTTACCTGAAATAGCTTTATAAATACTTCTCTTGTTGGACTGACTTTGATTATAAGTCTGCAAAAACAAATAAATGTCAAATTACATTATTTCTATAATAATCACTTAGCCATAACAAGCAATCATTATGTTGGTTTGGGTTTATTCTAAACAGTAAATTAAACCCTGATCCACTTAAATACTTAAGAGAAATAAGTATTTCTGTCGTCTTGAAATAGAATTTCTGTTGTCTTGAATTTTAAGCCAGTTCAATTAACTCGATAAAAATCATTTAAAAATCTATTATTCTAAAAGTCTACCTTAATAATTACATTACACAAAAGAAATCTGTCTTTTATTTAGTATGTTGCTGTTTTTGAATAAGGCTGATATTTATATGTAAGTATAAATTGTTTTTTCTTTTCTTTTTTTTTTTTTTTTACTATTCCCTCATTTCAGCTTCTTACTCCATCTCTCTACACTTCAGTTTTCTTCACTGTATACAACAAAAAAAGTATTCCTCCTCTCGCAGGGCTGTTGACAGAATTAAATAAGATAAGGTGTCTGAAGCACTGAGAACACTGCCAAGCACAAAGCAGGTGCTTGCCAAGTGTGGGCCATTATGACGATCGGACAGACAGGAAAACTAACCTGAAGAGAGACACCTTGCCTGAGGTAATTAGCGAGAACCCAATTCCATTGATAATACAGAGACTTTCACAAGCAGTCAAACATTCCATTTATTGGAATCATTTCATGGATAAACTAGATGTTACATAAGAATATGCTATAATCATATGAAAAGTATTGGGGAAAAATAATTCATTTTTCAGTATGATTTTTAAAGGGTATATAAAACATTTTAAATCAATTTTTTAAAAATATCGTAGTTAGTGAAAAATTCTTTAATGTGAACTTAAATATTTGGCCACAGAAATAGTCCCACTGAGTTACAAAAGTTAGTTAATACTTTAACAAACATAAAATAATATTATGTACAACATCATATTCAGGAAGCCCTGTCACCCAAGATTGTAGAGAGGTACAATTCAAGTCCCTTATCACTTAGAATAGGCATCAGTAAACTTTTCCATAAAGGGCCAGAAAGTAAGTATTTTAGGCTTTGCAGGCCACATACTATCTCTGGCATGTATTCTTGTTGGTTTGTTGGTTGATTGATTGATTCAGGCAACCCTTTAAAACATAAAAAACATTCTCAACTCACTGTAGTTAAAAAAAAAAAAAAACCTAAACTAAACACAAAAAATAGGCCTTAAAAGCACAGGGAAATAGTAAAACAGAGTAACACATGCTGATTTTTGTATCTAGTGTCTCTAAACGAATACTGAAGTACAAAAATGTGTTTCTTATACGAATAAAAATTAGAAAACTGAACCAAGTCAAAAATTCTCCTAATTACAAGAATAATCAGAATCTAACACAAAGGGGGTAAAAATCAACCTCAATTACCTACAAAGAGTTTGGACTTCAAATGTTGAAGATTTACATTTGTCTTTGGGCTGTATTTCTCAAATTTTAATTATCAAGTCATGTTTCTCCAGGTCTACTCACCCGCTCTTCCCGTCCTTCAGTGAGGATCACAACGATCCTGCCCTGGCGCCTGCGGCCAGTCCTGCCCATACGCTGTACCAGACGGATTGGGCTCTTCTGGGCGTCAAAACATATTATAAGGTCAACTTCCCCTATATCCAAACCTTCTTCACCAACACAAGTAGAAACCAATGTATTGTAACCACCACTACGAAATTGTTTCACTACCTAAAATAAAAATGATTTAAAAATAACTATATACAAACGTAAGAGAACTGTAGATCAAAGCATACTTTTTCCACTCTCCCCAAAATGGTGAAATCAGATTAAAAGTCAGCATCCAGGATACTACAGAATAGGAAACGAAGGGGCAAAAGGGCAACGTGACCCAAAAGAGACTGCTGTGAAATGCAAGGGGCAGTCCTAATTCCTTTGCTTTAATAATGGTTAGGAGGCTAAAAGGGTTCGCTGACAATTTACAAATGAATAAGACAGCCTAGATATTATTTTTAGCATCACTAAAAATGTCATAGGGCAGGTAAATGACACAAAGTAATTACTGGTATTTATCATGTCCTAGACCTAAACTTACTGTTAGGAGTATCTAACATAAGAATGTTTTAGTATCCTGGAATTCACGTCTGACCTTTTATACTGCCGTTCCAGTGAAGGGTAGCAGAATATGCCACCCCACAAAACGACTGTAGGGGTTTAGGATATGCTGCCCCAAAATATGCTGCTTTGGTATATTGATTATTTTGAGCTGCAGGCACCCTTGAAAGATAACAAATGCAGGGACAGACTTTCTCTTAACTATTCTTATCTGTCTAAAAACAGATCCTCCAAAAGGAACTCAATTGTCATAAATCCCCTCCCAGGGAGTTTCATCAACCAGGGAAGATTGACTTTTATCACAGGAGAGGAGACTAGAAGTCGACACCACACCCAGACAAACTTTGTCACAAACTATCATACCTCCCATCTATTCTTGTAAGGGCCCAGTCATCTTTCCTAAAAATCAATTACTCTCCCCTAAGAAGCCTATAGCCCCACCTCCGCTTTCTCTATTAAGATGGTATTTAAATCTGAATTCTAGCCACCTTGGGGAGTTACTCATTTTTCCCTGGGTATCTCCCATGTATACATGAGGTATACATGTTAATAAACTTGGTTGTTTTTCTCTTGTTAAGCTGTCTTTTATTACATGTCTCTCAGCTAAGAACTCAGAAGGGTAGAGGGAAAATTATTTTTCCTCCCCTGAACCAGGATTTCTCTCTGATCAGTTTAACGAAACTACAATAGTATGAGAATGAGTCAATTAAAAAGCCAATGAAACATTATGAAAATTTTTCTTAAGCCTTATAAACTTAGTTCTCAACTGCTCAGCCTCAGTTTCTCCATATATATCAACACCAACATTGCAGATGTCTATATGGTGGAGCAGTTGTGATGGTAACTAAATAAGATGATGCTCAACAGACAGAGAATAGAAACAAAAGTTGAATGATGGCATTCCAGAAGAACCAGTCATGCTTTGAACAATGCCTTTATAAATAGCCATTAAAATATTAGAATGTCCAAACAAAATGGCTAGTATTGAAGGAGTTATCAGACCTTATACACAAAAAGTAAATTTCAGGAGAAAATATTGGGGGAGTAACATAAAAAGGAAATATGAACTCTACCAAAGTACAGAAATAGCTACGGACCTGTGACAAAGGCCATAAAGGCCCTTCACGCTCAAACATTCTACTCTCCTATAAGTAATGGTAATTGTCAGCATATGAACTTAGGTATCTCTGGCTCCAAAAACCCATTATCTTAATCCTGAAGCTAGTTCTATTGTTAGAAACCACAACCTTAGCAGTAGGATGATAAATAAAAACTTATCAAGTTAAGTCCTCTTATCAACCTTTCCAGAAGCACCAAAGAGTTTTCCTTCAATACGGATAATCTCAGAGTACAGGGAGAACCAACGATCAAGATTAAAAGTTAAGAATAATTCATTTCCCTCTGGAATCGGTAATGACATTAAGCCAAGGAAAGACTGGCCTAATAGTACCTGTATGTAACTTAATAAAACAGCTGTCCTTTCTGTCCAGATAAAGAAAAAAAATAGTGGGCCATAGTACTAGAGATGTAAAGAAACATTTAATATAAATAGTTCATAGATTAATAAAGGACGTCAAACAACTTCCTTTTTAGTTAACTTGTATAAACTAAACTGTTATTTGCCTAGGATTAATATTAATTTGCCTAGAGTTTGAAAAATAAATATGAACCAGAAGTTATTTAATTAATCAGAGAAAGGAATAAGTGATTAATTAAATAACTTGTACCAGGATTTATAATCTACCGATCTACCATTTTTTCACTGCTTACCCATTACCCTAGCTTAAATTCCACTCCCTCACTCCTTTTTCCTCCATGTTCCTCTGAATAGACTCCAGCACTGCTTATATCCCACTTTCCACCTAGTCCGAGCCTGTACCCACACAATTGAATGTGGCTGGAGGAAAACACCAACCATGCTGACTGGTTTCACTTTAAACTCATAATCTCTCACCTTGAGTGGGCTCTTAGTGCTATCTGAAAATCATTTCATATTTCCCTAATCCATTCGCTCTCCCCATTCTCCTGGATAACTGTTTCCTACTCTCTCCTCTCTCATCAAACTTCCAACATGTCCTCCCCATCCTCACTCTCAGCTGATGACATGACAAAAACTGTGCAATCAAAAACGACCTTCCACAAGGTATCACGGCCACATCTACCCACCACCGGTACCTGTGCCCATATAGTCTGCCTTCCCTCCTATTGCTTTGGATAAACGATCCATGTTCTCAACTGAAGTCAACCTCCATAGTTGTGTACTAGATCCCATCCCTTTCTCTCATCTACTCCAAGATCACACCAGCCATACTCTTCTCTCAACTCTATCAGCAATTTTTTTCTCAAATGACCATTCCTATCAGCATACAAGCATTCTGCTGGGTCTCCTAACAGAGAACAAACAAAAAACCACTTCCATCTCTGCTCTCCTTTACAGCAAAATCCTTGAAAGACCTGTATATTTGTATACTTTCTAGCTGTTCTCTTCCTTTTTTTTTGTGAGGAAGATTAGCCCTGAGCTAACATCTGTTGCCAATCCTCTTTTTGCTGAGGAAGATTGGCCCTAGGCTAACATTCGTGCCGATCTTCCTCTACTTGATATGTGGGATGCCTGCTACACCATGGCTTGATAAGTGAAGCGTAGGTCTGCGCCTGGGATCCCAACCTGCGAATCCCGGGCCACCAAAGTGGAGCACACGAACCTAACCACTACACCACTGGGCCAGCCCCTTTTCTTGTTCTCTCTTGAAATCACTCCAACCAAGCTTGTCCCCACCATTCCACTGAAACTGTTCTTTTTTTTTTTTTTTTGTGAGAAAGGTCAGCCCTGTGCTAACATCTGCCAATCCTCCTCCTCCTCTTTTTTTTTGCTGAGGAAGACTGGCCCTGGGCTAACATCCATGTCCATCTTCCTTCACTTTATATGGGACGCCACCACAGCATGGCTTGCCAAGCAGCGCGTCGGTGCGAGCCTGGGATCCGAACCGGCGAACCCCAGGCCACCGCAACAGGGGACGCGCACTTAACCGCTTGCACCATGGGCCAGCCTGTTGAAACTGTTCTTTTCAAGGTCATTTGCTTTCTCATCTCTCAGTCCAATGGTCAATTCCCAGTTATCATCTTATATGACCTACCAGCAGCATTTATGCATTTAATCACTTCCTCCTCCTCATTTGGCCCCAGGATACCACTCTCCTGGTCTTTCTCCTGTTTCACTCACCACTCATTCTGATGCCCTAGGGAATCATGATCATTGCTCCCTCTCATAACTATGAGGTACCCCAGGGCTCAGTCTCTGGACATCCTCTCTATCTCCAGTCAATCACCTGGTAATTTCATCCAGTCCCATCTATACGATGATGATTGCCAAATATATATTTCCATGAACCCTTGAACCCATGAACTCAAGACATATATTCAACTGTTTATTCAACATCTCTACTTGATGTTTAAAACCATGCTATTCACATTGTAGTCCATGAACTATTACTGGCCCCCAACAAGATAAGTACAAAAACTAAGAGGAAGGGTTCAGAAACTGGACAGAGTAATTCTGTTTGTTAACTCCAATAATAAAAAATTTAGACACGAACTTTTTCATTAACTTAACTTTTCTAATAATTCATTTTTACTGTAATGTTCAAAAGCATCTGTCCATGACGTATTGAGAGGAAATAAACTGGTGCTCCATCAACTCCGATAGTTTATAAAACACTAATCTCACAGGCATGCCAAGTTAACTCGTCCAAAACCAGGCTCCCGATATTCTCTCCAAAACCTGCCTGTCCTGCAGTCTTATCTGTCTTAGTTAACAGAGCTCTTTCCAGTTGCTCAGACCAAAAACCTTGGAGTCATCCTTGCAGGCAGCCTTCACACTCCTTTATCTCACACCCCATCCAATTTGTCAACAAATCTTGTCAGCCTGACCTTCAAAATATACCCAGAATCCAACCATTCACCCCTTCCCTGCTACCACCCTCATCCACGCCACCATCATCTGTAGCTTGACTTACTGTAATAAGTCTCCTAATTGGTCTTCCTGTTTCCACCCTCAGGCCCCTATAGTTTATTCTTAAGGCAGCAACCACTGTGATTCTTCTAAAATATAAATCAGGCCATGACCCTCCTCTGCTTCAAACTTTCCAGGGGCTTCCTCCCATCTCACTCAGAGTAAAAGCCAAAGTCATTAATATGGACATGACCTTTACGGCCTCAAAGGATCTAGTCCCCCACTTCCTCTCTGACTTCATCTCTTGTTTCTAAAGAAATGAATAATTTAATTACAACTATTTGCACGAAAGCTTATTTCAGAATAAAACTGCTGTTATGAAAGCAATTATGTATAGGAGTAATAAAAAAGAGTTCTTTTTTTGTGTGTGTGAGGAGATCAGCCCTGTGCTAACATCTGCCAATCCTCTTCTTTTTTTGCTGAGGAAGACTGGCCCTGGACTAACATCTGTGCCCATCTTCCTCCACTTTATATGGGACGCCGCCACAACATGGCTTGCCAAGCAGTGCGTTGGTGTGCGCCTGGGATCCGAACCGGTGAACCCCAGGCCGCAGCAGAGCTCACGCACTTAACCGCTTGCGCCACCGGGCCGGCCCGAAAAAAGGGTTCCTACTCTGGCCTACATAGAATATTATTGATATAAGTGAGTAAAGGACAAAGTCAATAAAATCAATAGGGTTTCTCCTGGTATCTGACAAACTCAGGAAATAATGATTTAAGGTAATAATGAAATTAGCCAGAGATCAGGTTGGGTACTATGAGCATTTCAAAATGCTTGACCCGCTGGGAAAAAACCCACTTCATGTGTCACTCCTACATAAATGCGAAGGGCAGCCACTCACCCACTAGATGTGTGAACCCTGTCAAGACTTCTACTGAGGGCCAGCCCCGTGGCTTAGCGGTTCAGTGCGCGCGCTCCGCTGCTGGCCGCCCGGCTTCGGATCCCAGGCACGCACCGACGCACCGCTTCTCCGGCCATGCTGAGGCCGTGTCCCACATACAGCAACTAGAAGGATGTGCAGCTATGATATACAACTATCTACTGGGGCTTTGGGGGAAAAATAAATAAATAAATAAAATCTTTAAAAAAAAAAAAGATTTCTACTGAGACTTGGGGTGGGTAAAGGTGTCATCTCCAGACTCAGGAAAACAACTCAGACCCTCCCCACCAGACCCAGTCAGCTTCCACTGCTATAAAAGGTGTTTAAAGAACAGGATTCCTCATCTACCAATGTTGACAGAGCAAGAAAGGATCTGTCAGGATGAATCAGACATTAAAGACACACCTAAGTGTCAGTGACTACTCAAATGTACACCCACAGCTAATCTGCAAAAGTATGTATAAGCTTTATAAAAACCAATAGTCTAAAATTTCCCAAAAAAACATATCACAGCACTTAGAAAACTTATGACTTCTTATTCAGAGCATAGGGCTACCTTAAATATCACCATGGTTTCCTCGGACCATATTTTGAAAGTAGGATTTTTAAATAATAGAAAAAAAAAGACAAGCTCATTATTTGTTTGGAATAAAGTGACTTAAAATAAACAAACACGGGCCGGCCCCGTGGCTTAGCGGTTAAGTGTGCACGCTCCACTGCTGGCAGCCGGGGTTCGGATCCTGGGCGCGCACTGACGCACTGCCTCTCCGGCCATGCTGAGGCCGCGTCCCACATACAGCAACTAGAAGGATGTGCAGCTATGACATACAACTGTCTACTGGAGCTTTGGGAGAAAAAAAATAAATAAATAAATAAAAATAAAAAAATAAAATAAACAAACAGCGAACACCTACTGAAGGCTCTAAGTATGATTTCACTCAACGCTCGTGACAACTCTCTGAAGCACGCCTGCAGATCAGAAAGCTGAGGCACGGGAGGTACAGACCGTCGTAAGGGGAGAGCCAGGACTCCAACCCAGCAGCATGACGCCAGAGCCTTTCTGCTCCACCACCACACTTGACAGCACTTTTAAAAAAAGTTTCAAAACCACAAAAAACACCTTTTTTGGTCTTTCAAAATATGCCTTTCTTTATTTACATGTTTACTATAAATTTATCTTCAAGAAGCAGCCATTGGCAAGGAGTTAAAACAAAAAAAGCAATAGTGCAAAGCTCATCAATTTTATTTTTATTTTCATCACCTCCAAAAATAATTACCTCCAGTTGCTCCTTCTGGGTAAAACCCTTCATGCTTTTCCCAGAGGCATGGCCAACAAAAGTCATTGCTCTAATCATTGGCTGATGTCGTAAAAGCATTTCTGCAATTTCTTGAACACTATCTCGAAATGAAGAGAAGATCATAACTCTGGTCTCATCACATTTCTTTTCAGAGGTATTCTGAGCTATATAACAAAAAATACTTAAATTACAACTTTTTAAAAAGCATATAGACAAGAACAAGTTCAAAGACAAATCTGAAGCTATATACTAATGAATGATAATTCTTTCAAAAAAATAATTTAAGCCATCTTAAACCTTTGCTAGTTTTCCTCCTACCTTCTCTAGTAATTTTAACAATCTTGGCTTTCTACCTCTCACTGGCTGTCATAATAAAACCTACACAAATCAAATAAAAATGACCTGAGTCACTTTTGACCAGTCCTTCAGTCATGCCTGATGCCTGTTATTCCCCTTCACCTTCTAAGTCAAAAGCACAGAATTGATTTGGTGAGTCTTCCCTTCCCTTTCTGTCACTGAAGGTACTGTCTTATCAAGGCCACAGCATTCTGTCCCTGAATCTACAATACTTTCAAAATCTCCCATGATAACTGCAGAATATACCCTACAGCCAACCGCAAAGCCGCTCCCAGCATCTCTGTGTTTGGGAGGCTGCAGAACGCACGAATCAGAACATGGTCTTTGAGGCTGGGCTACTTACTCGCTGGGTGATGTGTGACCATGGTAGCTAGCTAATCTCTTTAAGCTTTAGTTTCTTCATATCTAAAATGGATTGAGGCGATGATTAAATGAAATAGTAAACATAAAGTATGAAGACTTGCACATAGCAATTGGGCTAATAATCGCAAGTTGTGTGGAGTTTTTTGCTATTTGTTTTCTTTTGTTTTCAAGCTTGCTTGGGACTTGGAAAAGCCTTCTTTCTTCCATATGATTTACATTATATTAATCATCACGTGTGAGCCAGGGACTACACTAAGCACTTTATATATTAACTCACTCAATCTTCACAACAATCCTAAGGATTAAATGACTTAAAACATAGAAAGCTAATTCACAGCACATAAGCGAAAAGCAGCAGCAGCTGTTGTAAGGAAAATTATTCCAGATAAACCTCCTTTGATTCACCACAGCATCAAGACCCCATCTGACCATCTCCTGGCCCACTGCTGCCTTCGGGGCAAACGCCATCTCTTCAACTGGCCACAGCCTGCTTGTCTACCCTCACTCCGTTGAAGCTCCTCTTCCAAAGTCATCAGGAACCTTCCACATCGCCAAATTCAACAGACGCTTATTTAGTTCATCGTACCACACCTCTCCGCAGCATTTAACACGGTCCGCTCCTTCCTACTGAAACAGCCTCTTCCCTCAGCCTCTCTGACACTTGTTTTGTCTGGTCTCTTTCTCAGTCTCCTTTGTGGCTTTTTTCCCTCTGAACTCTAAATGTTAGTATTCTTCAGGACTACATTCTGGGCCCTCTCCTGTCTCTAAATGGTATTTCTGGCAATGTGATCTCACCCATTCCTGAAACTTTAAATATTACCTTTTTGCTGATGACTCCAAAATTTACTCATATACATGTAAACAAATAAAAATAGCCCAGACTCTTCTTCTGAGATCCAGATGCACTTACCCAATGCCTGCACATCCCACCTAGATATCTCAAAGGCATCTTAACATGTTTGCTTTTTCTTCTCCATGCTGATCTTAATTTCCTCTCTGCTCATATAATCATCCACAAACACACAGACCCATGTGACTCCTCTTTTTTCTCATACCCTTTGTCCAATCCATCAACAAATACTGTTGGCGCCAACTTCAAAATATATCTAGGATCTACAACCACTTCTCAGTACCTCCCCGACCCCTGCCTTGGCACAAGCCACCATCATCTGCTATCATATGAGACTATCACACTAGCCTCCTAATCGGTCAACGTCTACTCTCCACAAAACTACCAGACTGATCTGGCAAAAACGTAAGTCATATTACTGCTCTAAATGCCTCGGTAATGGTTTCACAAAGCACAAACATTTGTAGGATAAAAGCCAAAGTTGTGACTTGGCCCGGGGCCAGATCACTAGGACTTGTCGGCCAAGTCACAACCTTGGTGTTTATTCTTCTCCATAAGAAGTGTTAGCACAAACTAATAACTTTTCAATAACTTTGTCTCACGGTGAAGTTACTAAATAGGACCTACCATTCCATGACTTGAAGTGTTCAACGACAACTTCTTCTAATTTCTTTAACTTTGGGTGACTGTAGAAAAACTTTTTATCTTTATCTCCTGCAAAAAAAAAAATTTCTATATTTCCCATATTTAATTACATTAATGCATTTTAGTTATCCTTTTCAAAATGAATTTGTTAAAACTTACTTTTTTCTTTTTATTTAAACAGTAAGTAGCATCTGGGAGCACATAAGCATTACTATAAAATAAACTTTGAATTTTTAGGAACATTTCATTCTGAGAGAGAACCCAAATGGGAATCAGCAGCAAAGTTAAAGGGAAAAAATACATATTTAGTTAAGTTATAAATCAGTTTTTAGTAGTTCTGAAAATTTTCACTACCAGTAACAAAAACTACTAACATCTGTTATATATTTAAAGTTTATAAATGGCTTGAATATGCATCTATTCTAACTTAAAGAAGAAAATCTTTAAGCATTTAACAGGTCTGTTGCTACAGAAATATAAGTAATTATGGGCCACCCCCTGGCCTAGTGGTTAAGTTCGGCGTGTTCTGCTTAGGCAGCCTGGGCTCACAGATTCAGATCCCAGATGTGAACCTATACCACTTGTCAGCCATGCTTTGGAGGGACCCACATATAAAATAAAGGAAGACTGGCACACACATTAGCTCAGTGCTAATCTTCCTCAAGAAAAAAACAGAGGAAGATTGGCAACAGATGTTAGCTCAGGGCTAATCTTTCTCAGCAAAGAAAAAAAATATATATATAAGTAATTATAGATAGACATGTGGATCAATGGAGCAAAATTTGAAAACTGGCCTTGATGAAGAGAAACCACATAAAATAAAAAACCAGACCTTTGCGGATAGAAACACCACTTGATGAAGCACTGTGTGTCTGTGCAAACATGCCCTCTAGATGCCCATAGAGCTTCATGAAGTCCTCATTTCGGCCAAGTTCATTTTTAGCCCGAGTCAGTCCTTCAGAAATTAAAAAAAGATTCTCCAAATAAATAAACTTAATAGCAAAACTAATCAAATTTATTATTTATTAAAAAGAAATTAAACTTTACAAATGAACATGAGTTTTTCAAATGTAAACATGAAAACCAGCAACTTATTCCAGTTCCACATTCACATATGTATCAACGAATGGCTTTTTTCCAGCAATTCATCAAAAACAGAGAAACATGGCTATTTGTTACTATTCAACGAACTACTTCATTGCTTTTTAAAATAAAGCATTTTTAAGTAAACAAAATTGTTCAATATATTTTTATTGAAAATAACACGTCATTATTTCTTTACATAATTTCATCTATTTACCTTTAGTTCCATCCATAATTCCACAAAGGAAGAAATATAAGGATCTCATTCCCATTTGCTGCAATAATTCGTAACCATGATATAAGCTAATACAAACAGCAAATTCTCCCTCGATTATGCCTTGTATTCCCTAGAAAAACAACCATATATCAAATTTAACCAGAAAAAGAAATGAAGATACACGTTCCACGTAGAACTTATTGGTTCTGTTGCATATTATAGGATGTTGCTTTGGAAAGGTGTCAATGTATTTCCCATATAAAACCTGTTCCTTTATTGTTTTTCTTTAATTCAACAGGAAACTCACATTTTAAAGAGAATGGGGGAAATACTTATCACACACTGTTTCTCTTTATAGGTAAATTAGTAGCAGTAAGTAGTTCCATTTGTTCTTTCAAAACTATTTAATAAGCACGTACTGCATGTCAAGCACTGAGCTAGGTACTGGGACACAATGGAAAACGCGTCCCATATGGGCTTATCCTCAAGGATTTTACTGGCATCAGGACAAATACTTAATCAGACTGTTTAACGCTAACATTTATTTAACACCAGGTACACCCGCCATAATAACATGTAACACTGAGCACCAGACCCTGTTCTAAGCACGTTACTTGTACAAACTCATTTAATCCTAAAGCTAAGAGGTAGGTGCTAGTGCAACACCCACTTTACAGATGCGGAAGCTGCAGAGCTTGTGTTCTCACCGCTACTCTTGAGGAAAAGTGAAATACACACTCCTTCTGCGGGAGCATACAGCAGGAGCATCTATATGACAAGACAGTTTTAAAAGGAGACTGACCACTGAGACTATGTTTTAATTACTTTCCTTTATTCAAGATGAAGACTAGTATTCACTACCTTGCATTTTTAGTAGCATTTAACATCAGTGATAGTCACTTTAAATGTTTCCAGGATAGTGATAAACGCCCTAAAATGACACCCTAATTACCTGAAAGGGGGAAACCACCTCTCTGTAAAATATAAACTCTTCATCACTAAGATTAAGTTCACCAGGTTTAGATTTACTATGTAAAATTTCAATGAACCTTTAACTCCTAGCAGAAATTAAAACACATTTTATTAAAATTTAGTACAATATCCTGCAATTTCACAGAAAGGCTCCCTTAGCGGTTCCCCAGATACTACAGAATAAAGTCCACATTTCTGGGTGTAACATTGAAAACTACTCCTGTGTGGTCACGACTAGATTAACTATCACACCTGACTTCCCCACTCCTTTACCTCAGCCCAAGTGGCTTGCTCACTGTCTGCTTCATACCATCTTTCAATTTCCTCTCTTGCAACACGCATTCCCTCTCAGTTCAAAGAACGGCTCAGTGTCTTTTTGTGCTTATTAGCATCTCTTTTGACTTTGGACCTAGCTTGATGGGTATGTTCCTATCCACCTATTTGTTCCTAGGAAGATTAGAAATAAAAAGCTTACTGTGATGTTTCCTCCAACCTCAGTATCAAGAATTAAGACTAAATGCTCTGGGTCTAAAAGTTAATTAGAATCTACCCTCTCATGGCCCTTTGACTTTGCAACACAGAAATAAACTAAAATAGCAATTCTTTATTAAAAGTTAGAAGAAAAATTTATCTTAATTCAAATCATTAAAGTGTATTCTTGCCAGATTTTTTCATGCTTTTATAAGCTACATAAACCATATCTGAATTTTTGATGAGCTAATATATACCAAAACCAATCATTTTTACATTTCATTCTAGCTCTGAGTAAAAACTTAATCTCTATCTTCAAAATTTATTTAAAAGTACCTACCACAATATTTGGAGATGGGTTTTTCCTAAACTGATCTCTTGCCAGAATTATCTGGTATTTTGTTAGATTGGGGATATCCTTTCTCTTCAAAATATTCCTCTGAATCAAAGAACTGGCAAATGTTTCCAAAATCTGCAAATTTCAAAGATATTTAGTTTAAGCTTGTTTTAAAGTCCTTTATCAAATACAAGCATTTCCTCACATATTAAAACAGGAGTTATATATTAAAGTTTGTCTTAAACCAAATTTTTAAGTAAACTCAGCAAAGATAACAATGAAATTTAAAAGTACTTGACATTTATCCCCAGATAACATCCATATGAGAGTCAGCACAAGCATCCATACAAGAGTCAGACCCAACAGTAATTTAAGAACATTTGTGTTTATCTGTTCATTTCCTAACTCCCCCCATGCCCCACCCCATCTAAGCACAATGAAAGGAGGGCCTTTCGCTTCTTCACTGCGGCATCTTCAGTGCCTACAGCAAAGTCTGGCACATAGGCAAATATTTGTAGACTGATGACTAAATCACAATGCCTTGAGTACATTTAATTTCATTTTTTGATTCATTCTTTCCAGAAATATTTATTAACTATCTATTATGTATCACGCATTGTTCTAAATGCTCAGGATATTGTGGCTGAGACAAGTGACATCACTGCTTTCATAAAGTGTAGATCCAATGAAGGGAAGGAAAGATTGAAGAAGCGAACAAGAAAGTAGAGCATTTCGATTATGACAAATGCATTAAGAACCTAAAACACAGCAACGAAGAAGAGTCTTTGAGGAAAAAGGCGTTATTATGAAATAAGGTGGACAGAGACAGTCTCTCTGAAGAGGTAATACGCAAGCTGACGCCTGAATGATGAGGCATGTCTAGTGTGGGAGGTTCTGAGGACACAGCATTCCAGGCAGAGGAAACAGCAGACAAACTGTCCCGATGCAGGAATGAGCTTGACGGCACAGTGAAGGAAAAAAAGGAGACTTCCAGATGAAGATCTACTACAGCAATATGTATTAACTGTTCCAATTTTTCCCTAATTTTTATTTCCTAAAATAGGGCTATTTTAGTACATTTTGATCTTTCCTCCCTTCCAGCTTTTCTGATCACACTGCCGAAAGAAGCACTCTAAAAATATCAACAAAATTAAATTCTTATATGTGATTATACAAATTATAAATTTTACATTCTTATAATTGGAATGATTTAATCACAACAAAATGTATTAGTATTTAGCAGACGATTACTGGAAAGACTTTTCCATATCTTAAATTAATAACGCTAAGAATTTTGTCACAAATAATTTAAAAACAAACCATATTCCTACAAAACTCTTTAAGAAAGACTTATTAAAGGTTAAACAACACATGAATGTTTTGGTTATCTATTCCTGCATAACAAACTACTTCAAAGCATCACAGATTAAAACAACCACCACTGTATTTGCTCACAATTCTGACTCTGTGGTAAGAATTCAAGCAGGTCACTGAGAGGGCCCAGAAGCAATGACACCACAGAATAATAAGCGCACCCCGTGAACAGAGCTTGGTTTCTAAATACCATGCTTCCATAAGAGGAACAAGGATCCCTTGAAGAAATAGTTGAGTCTATGGCTGGAACAGGAAAATACTAAATGAGCATAAAATATCTTGTAACGCAGAAATTAGGAAGTGCTCCAAAAAAAAAAGGTGCATGTCTAAAGAACACAGGAGCCATCTCAAAGAGCTCCCAATGCCAAAAGCTAGAACAATAGGTGCAACAAAAGTAATAATGACAGTATTGAATTTAACCCACAGAAAAAAATAAATACCCCTGAGTCTATAGTGATATAAAGAATTGAATTAACAAATAAATGGGGGAGAAACTCTTCATTATAGAATTCAAATTAACAAATGGAAAAGAAATGAGGGAAAGAAGAAATAATGATTAGGCAAACACTACAGATATAACTATTGCAAGCAAGAACCATCACTGTATGCTAAAATTGTTGGGCAAGATATGTTGATAAACAGGATATTTGCAAAGTCTCAAAGTATCTCCCCACTGGAACTCTCTATACTATTTTTGCAAGTTTTTTGAAAGTCTAAAATGATTGCAAAATAAAATATTAAAAACAAAAAAGAGGGCTGGCCCCGTGGCTTAGCAGTTAAGTGCGTGCGCTCCGCTACCGGCAGCCCGGGTTCAGATCCCAGGCGCACACCGACGCACTGCTTCTCCGGCCATGCTGAGGCGGCGTCCCACATACAGCAACTAGAAGGATGTGCAACTACGACATACAACTATCTACTGGGGCTTTGGGGAAAAAAAGGAGGAGGATTGTCAATAGATGTTAGCTCAGAGCCGGTCTTCCTCAGCAAAAAAAAAGAGGAGGATTAGCATGGATGTTAGCTCAGGGCTGATCTTCCTCACAAAAAAAACAAACAAACAAGCAAAAAAAAGAATTCTTCCAGGGCACTGCAAGCACAGCGTGTCTCTGCTCCTTGGTGTCTGGAGACTCAAAAGGCAGGGGCCAGCTGAAATAGCTCAGCTGGGGCTAGGTTTCTCCTTTCTCCTCAAGGCGGCTAACTTGAGCTTCGTCACATTCTGTGGGTCAAAGTCAGTCACAGGCCAGCCTAGATTCCAGGAAAGCAGAAATGTAACCCACCTCTCCATGGAAGGAGTGGCAAAAAATGTGCAGCCATCTTTAATCCACAGCAATGAGGATATGAAAACAAGGTGTTTTCCTGGTATGACACTAATTATGAACTACAGAAAAACGTTTACCCCCAATTTCCCCCATTGAAAGTGTAACTGTTTAAGCAATTTCTCAGCTAAAATATTGACATTTGGACCAGATAATTCTTTGTTGTTGGGGAGGCTCTCCTGTTCACTGCAGAATGTCAAGCAGCATTCGTGGCCTCTATACACTAGATGCCAGTAGCAACTCTACTCCCCACCCCTTCCAGTTATGACAACCAAAAATGTGTCAAGACATTGCAAATGTCACCATGTGGGCAAAATCGCCTCCAGTTGAGAACCACTGCTGTCTGAGGGATCAAGGAGGAAAACAGTGAAAATATATTTTCTTACAAAGAAACTTCTGGCTGAATCCGGGTATGTGTTATGGGTGTGTTCACTTTGTGAAAATGCACTGAGCTACACACTTACATTTTGTGCACTTTGCTGTTTATTCATGTGTGGGGAAGGGGTGTTTTCTACGGCAATTAAAAGGTTTACTTAAAAAAATACAAAACCATATAAGGCTATTGTTCCCTTTAGAAATGGTACATCATTTTGTATTTCCTCCTTAACTAATAGTTTGCTAAAACAAATAAAACATGGTGCTCATCCCAAAAATTTTAATTTCGAAGAACTTTTCAACATATTAATTATATAAAATGATTATAACCATATATTCTCACAGCCAGATTCTGTTAACTAAAACAATTACATTATCAGTTCCTGTATTAAAACCCTGAATTTTGATAAAAATGGCTTACCTGTATATACGCCTTTTGGATGGCTGCAAGTTCTTCACCTAGAGGAACAACAAGCTTTTCAACTAGTCTCTCATGAGAGTATGGCAGAATATCTGGAGAATCTTCAGAACGAAGCTCTATCTGCCCAATTAGTAGGTTCGTAATAACCTGTTGCACAGCCTACGCAAAATCAATTAAGTATGATTATAAATTATATTACTTGTTAAATTTTTTAGTCTGTCACTAACAGAAATAGAATAGCAGTAAAATTTTGAAAGAAATATTAGAAACTCATATCATTAAATATTTTTTAAAAAAGAAAACTATAAAGCACATCAGAAGTGGCACAATAGGGGAATAAGGCTTTTGAAACATCTTTCTTCCATGAAGACTTCCAGCCAAGCATCCAAGAAATAAGATTAGTAATGTCCAACAAGTTCCACAAATGTATTTTGCAATTTCCAATAGCAGTGATATATTCCTTCCATCAACATTTTATAAAGATTCAGACAAAACAGAAGTCTCAGATTAGCAAACTACATTCCCAAAACATTATATAATACAGTCAATTTCAGAGCCAGAATTAGAACACAGATTTCCTGATTCCCTGGCAAATACTTTTTTCCATTGATTTTTTTTGAGAAAAACAGAGAAGTCTTGTTACTATCAAAGGATACAAATGTGTCTTAAGAATACTTTACAAACTGGCTTGTTAAGAATTGAGGGTAGGGGGTGCCAGCCCCGTGGTGTAGTGGTTAAGAGCGCCCGCTCCGCTGCTGGCGGCCTGGGTTCAGATCCCGGGAGCACACCTACGCACTGCTTGTCAGGCCATCCTGTGGCGGCATCCCACATAAAGTGGACGATGACGGGCACGGATGTTAGCCCAGGGCCAGTCTTCCTCAGCAAAAAGAGGAAGATTGGCATGGATGTTAGCTCAGGGCTGATCTTTCTCACAAACAAAAAGAAAGAAATTGAGGGTAGGTCCTGCCTGGTGGCACAGGTGGTTAAGTACGTGCACTCCGCTTCGGAGGGTTCGCAGGTTCAGATCCCGGGCATGCACTGACGCACTGCTTGTCAAGCCACGCTGTGGCAGTTGAGGGTATAGGGCCTATACTAAATCAATTACCGATAAATTAGTGGAATATTTTCCATTTAAATTAATATATATGATGTGAGTATATTTCTAAAGCTAAATTTCATTCACCCAAAGCTTATAAAGGAATTAAAATTAGGGAATTGGAACAAAAACATATAACCTGTTGGTAGAAACAACTAGTGAACCATTAGATTAGTACAGTACTTGACCGTATGGTTAAAAGCCAGGAAGAAAGGAAGGAAGGGAGGATCCTGAAAGTACTAGAAATTAAAGGTTATTTTTTAAACTAGAAAAGCCTCATGGGCTTAGTTTGACAAAAAATACTCTAGGGCGGGGCCGGCCCCGTGGCTTAGCGGTTAAGTGCGCGCGCTCTGTTGCTGGCGGCCCGGGTTCGGATCCCGGGCATGCACCGACGCACCACTTCTCCAGTCATGTTGAGGCCGCGTCCCACATGCAGCAACTAGAGGGATGTGCAGCTGTGACATACAACTATCTACTGGGGCTTTGGGGGGAAAATAAATAAAATTAAAAAAAAAAAATACTCTAGGGCAAGAATCACATCTTAATCACCTTTGCATTCCCAACAGTGGGTAGGGTGCCCAACACGGTAGCACACTATAGTTACCGAGGCTCCACATACATTCAAAATCTAGAGTAAAGTTATGATCATTTTATAAAATTAGGTAAGACTTGAATATTTTTAATCATTCATTCATTCAGCAAATATCTGAGTAACTCCCACATGCCAGGTATTGAGCTGGTGATCAAGCTATGACCAAGATAGACATAATCCCTACATTCATGTAGCTACTATTTCAGTGGGGCAAAAAGACAACAAATAAATGAGTAAGCAAAAGAAACACACATTATGATCAACATTAAGAAGAAAATCACAAGATAGGCGGAGCTGACTTCTGATAGCTCAGAGCAGATCTTTCTGAAGGAGTGGCATTTAGGCAGAGACCTAAAAGCTGACTAAAAGCAATCATGCTTAAACATGTTTAAACAAGGCCAGGGGGAAGATCAGGGATAGGATAGAAATTTCCAAAAATCAACAAGGCTATGGACGGAAAGAAAAAAGTCTTATGGGTTGGCAGAGTTGAAAGCTATCTTAGAAAGTATCCAAAACTCAATATGGAAAACTATTCAGAACTACAAAAGTCAGAATGTCACAGGATAGGGCTCAAAATCTGCATTTTTACAATCCTCCAATAAAGGAAACCCTGCTCCCTCGAAAATGGCTGATTCCATGTCCGGGTCAGGAAAAGTACCAAATGAGCACAAAATATCTGGTGATGCCAGAAAGTTAGGAAGTGTTTAAAAAAACAAAAAGGTGGGGGCTGGCCCCGTAGCATAGTGGTTAAGTTCGCATGCTCTGCGTCGGTGGCCTGGGGTTTGCAGGTTCAGATCCCCGGCGCGGACCTACGCACTGCTTATCATGCCACGCTGTGGCAGGCGTCCCACACAAAATAGAGGAAGATGGGCACAGATGTTAGCCCAGGGCCAATCTTCCTCAGCAAAAAAGAGGAGGATTGGCTTCGGATGTTAGCTCAGGGCTAATCTTCTTCACAAAATACAAAAAGAAAAACAAAATGGTGCACGTCTAAAGGACACAGGAGCCATCTTCAAGGTGCTCCCAAGGGACAAAGCTGAACAATCTGAGCAACAACATTATGAATGACAGTACTGGATTATAGGCCATAGAAAAAATAAATACCCGTTAGCTCATATTAATATAAAGAAATGAATTAATAAATAAATAGGGAGAAGAGACAGCTCTTCATTACAGAAGATTTTAAATTAACAAATGTAAAAGCAATGAGGGAAAGAGGAAACACTGAACAGGCAAACACCACAGAAATAACTGTTGCAAGAAAAACCATCACTAGATGCTAAAACAGAACATTTACATAGTTGCAAAGTATCTCCCCCACAAGACACTTTTCTGTGTGTGTGTGTGTGTGTGTGTGTGTGTGTGTGGACAATCAGCCTTGAACTAACATCCCATGCCAGTCCTCCCTGGGCTAACATCTGTGCCCATCTTCCTCCACTTTATATGGGACACCGCCACAGCATGGCTTGCCAAGCGGTGCCACTGGGCTGGCCCCAAGACACTTATTAATTACGAAAGGAAAAACAGTAATAATACAATGGAGAAACCGGAAGACATCACCTTAACCAAGTCAAGATTAACAGCACCAGTAACAAGACTATATCATATACTCTCTCAGACAATGTGCTGAGAAAAGAACAGCATTACTTTGGGGCTATTCTTGCCAAAAATGAATAACCTCACTCCAATCATGAGAAAACATCAGAAAAACCCAAACTGAAGGATATTCTACTAAATAACTGGCACCTACTCTTCAAAAGCATCAAGGTCACGGAAGGCAAGAAAAGACTGAGAAACCATCACAGATTGGAAGGGACCAGGAGACAGGACGACTACATGCAGTGTGGGATCCTGGAACTGGAGCAGAAAAGGCACTGGTGGGAAAACTGGCAAAATTCAAATAAGGTCTGCAGACTAGTTGCTAGTACTGTGCCAACGTTAACTTCCTGGTTTTGATAATTTTACTATGGTTCTATAATACATTAACATTAGGGGAAGCTAAGCACAGCACACGTAATACAGAGATTTCAATTTTTGCAAATTTCTCAAAGTCTAAAGTTATTTCAAAATAAAACTTAAGAATTGAAAACGGGGGCCGGCTCCGTGGCTTAGCGGTTAAGTGCGCGCGCTCTGATGCTGGCGGCCCGGGTTCGGATCCCGGGAGCGCCCCGAGGCACCACTTCTCCGTCCAACGCGAGGCCGAGTCCCACGTACAGCAACTAGAAGGATGTGAACCTATGAC